CCAATCATCCACCCATCTAATCATCCATCCATCCATCCATCCATCCATCCATCCATTTAATTATCCATCCATCCAATCATCCATTATCTAATCATCCATCCATCTATCCATCGAATCATCTATCCATCCATCCATCCATTCAGTCATCATCTATCCATCCATCTATCCCTCCCTCCATCCATCCATCCATTCAGCAGTGAACCTCTACTATGGTTTGTTCTCAGGTCTGGGGTGGGGCCTGAGAATCTGCAGAAGCTCCGCAGTGTTTGTCCAGGTTTGAGGAAGCTTTAGCCTATGTTCTAGGGTCGAGGAGGTGGGGCTGTGCAACAGCATGTGTAGAAAAACTCAGGCTTATGGGTGCTCTGTTCAGGGTTGACTGTGTGATGTGTGGATGTTGAAGTATGACCTTAGGTTGCATTGAGAGGAATATGGCATCTAGGACAATGGAGGTGACATTTCTGCTCTATTTAATCCTGGCCTTAACACTTTTTACGTGCTGAGGAAACCAATACATAGGATGGGTCCAGAGGTGGTAACCAGGTTTGGGAGAGGACTGGAGACTGTCTTAAGAAATGGTTGTTGGTGGCCCGGTATGGTGGCTCACCCCTGTAATACCAGCACTTTGGAAGGCTGAGGTGGGTGGATCACCTGAGGCCAAGAGTTTGAGACCACCTTGGGCAACATGGTGAAACCTCATCTCTACTAAAAATACAAAAACTAGCCAGGTGTGGTAGTGCGGGCTTGTAATCCTAGCTACCCTAGAGTCTGAGGCAGGAGAATCGCTTGAACCCAAGGGGTGGAGGTTGCAATGAGTTGAGATTGTGCCATTGCACTCCAGCCTGAGTGACAGAGAAAAAACTCTGTCTCAAAAGGAAAAAAGAAAAAAGAAAAAAAGAAACGATTGTTGGAACTAGGTTTGAAAAAGGTGAGAGTTCCTTCAGGTATCTTCAGAGTAGCCTATGAAAGAGGGAGCAGACCCTTTCTGTGGTCCCAGGAGGCAGGTGTACATGGGGCACTACAGTGAGAAAAGCTTTCATGTAACCCATTTCTCATTATTAAGGCCCTCCTTTTTTTTTTTTTTTTTTTTTTTTTTTTTTTTTTTTTTTTTTTTTGAGACAGGGTCTTGCCCTGTCATCCAGGCTGGAGTGCAGTGGTGCGATCTTGGTTCACTGCAACCTCCGCCTCCTGGGCTCAAGCGATTCTCCCACCTCAGCCTCCCAAGTAGCTGTGACTACAGGCATATGCCACCATGCCTGGCTCATTTTTTAATTTTTTTGTAGAGATGGGGTTTCACCATGTTGCCTAGACTGGTCTTGAAATGAGCTCAGGTGGTTCGCCTGCCTCTGCCTCAAAGTGCTGGGATTATAGCCATGAGCCACCTCACCTGCCTACTAAGGCCCTCTTAATTGGATTGTTGATATCGTTGAAGAGAGACTGGGAAAACGAGTACAGTGTCTAGGACAATGCAGAGGGGATTCCAGGCTTGGAAGAGGGTGGGACTAAATGGTGTTTGAACCGTCCCCTACCATGGGATTCCAGGATCCAGCACTTTCTGATAGGAAGCTCCTGGCCTTTTGGAACTATTATTTATATCTGGTGCCCAGGCTGCAGTGCAATGGCACAACCTCAGCTCACTGCAACCTCTGCCCTCGCCCCCACAGGGTTCAGGTGATTCTCCTGCCTCAGCCTCCCAAGTAGTTGGGATTACAGGTGCCCAACACCATGCCTAGCTAATTTTTGTGTTTTTAATAGATACTGGGGTTCTCCATGCTGGCCAGGCTGGTCTCTTAACTCCTGACCTCAGGTGATCCTCCTGCCTCAGCCTCCCAAAGTGCTAGGATTACAGATGTGAACCACCACACCAGGCCTGCTTTTTTGTCTTTGAATCTGTAGATAAGCCAAACCCTTGGGATCTATGCATTAAGCATGGGGCAAGGGTGAAGTGTGTGCCCTGGCGTCGTGTGTGCGCTTGTGAGCGGTTGTATGTGCCCTGGCGGTGTGTGTGCTCTTGTGTGCGGTTGTGAGTGTGCATGCATACTCCGTAGAGTGTGCGCCCTGGTGGCGTGTGTGCTCTTGTGTGTGGTTGTGAGTGTGCAGGCATACGTCGTAGAGTGTGTGCCCTGGTGGCGTGTGTGCTCTTGTGTGCGGTTGTGAGTGTGCAGGCATACTCCGTAGGCTTTCTTATGTCCCCAGAGAGCCAGGACCATCTTGGAGTTTGAGAAAATGTTACCAGAATGGCTAAGGAGCAGATTCCGGATGGGGGAGATGTGTAAAGTGGCCGAGGAAGATTTCCGACTGTGTTTGCGGTAACAGAGGGCCCTGGGGTGGTGAGCTTTGGGGTGGGTAGAGAGGGGCAGGTCAGCTTGCTCACCATAACCATAGCTACCTTCTGTCCCGGGGCCTCTCGGAGGAAGGAATTTGTTTATGGGGTTGCAGGGCCTGGGATGGGGGTTCCCGAGCTCCAAAGAAGGGAAGGAGACTGGCAGCAGTGGGTCCCCTCTCTGCTTTTCTGGAGGTGCCTCCAGGGTCTCTTGTCTGTTCACTGTCTGGTGTGGGGAGACCTGCCTGCTTGGTACTCCTTTTCCTGCGGTGTACCCTGTGTAAGTTCCTGGGACCCCAGAGGACATGAGGCACGTTTGCCCCTGGCAGACGGAAGGTGACATGGCTGCTTTGACAGATCTTTTTTGATTTTTAAAAAATGTCCTTACATGTCTCATGACCACCTTTTCTTTTTCTTTTAAACGAAGTTTCACTCTATCTCCCAGGCTGGAGTGCAGTGGCGTGAGCTCTGCTCACTGCAGTCTACCAGGTTCAAGTGATTCTCCTGCCTCAGCCGCCCAAGTGGCTGGGATTTACAGGCACATGTCACCACGCCTGGCTAATTTTTGTATTTTTAGTAGAGATGGTGGTTTCATCATGTTGGCCAGGCTGGTCTAGAACTCCTGGCCTCAAGTGATCCACCCCCCTCAGCCTCCCAAAGTGCTGGGGTTACAGGTGTGAGCCACCGCACCCGGCCCCATAACTACCTTTTCTGATAAGCCCACGTCCTCCTTCCCTGACCCAGCTTCCCGAGCCTACAGACCACCTTTTTTGAGTACGACCAAACCTTAACCCACTTCTCTGCTGAAATCCCAGCCCCTGGACAGCAGCATTTCTGACCGCAGTGGTTACCCTAACAAGTATTTCTGACGTTGCCACGGTCGCTCTAGAGACGTTCCCTGAACGTGAATTTAGGTCAAATCAGTGCCTGCCGTTCCGTTCTAACACGTCAGATGCCACCCTCTCTTGTTGGTCACGGGCCCTAATCACATGCTCCCAGTACCTCCTCAACCCTCGTGACACTTGGAGTTTAATCTTCAAGCCCTCATGGTCCGGGCCTTCCCTCTGTCTGTCCCTGCTTCCCCGTGGGCTGTCACCTGTCAGGCACAGCTGCACAGTCTGAAATTGTACCCTTGACACCCGTCCGAGCAACTTACAGGATTTCCGAGTTCCATACAGTGGAAGGAGAAGTGAGTCTTTGAGGCCCAGGGAAGTGGAGATGGGTATAGAGTTGAAACTCTAACAACGCTGGTGTGACCGCTCAGGGCAGGGGTGCTCCTGATCTCTAGGACAGACAGAAGGGGAGCTGTGTAGACACCGGGACGCCCCAAGCGCAGGGCTGTCTGTTTGCACCCAGTGAGGCAATGGCGAAATAGTAAGAGCGATGGCCACACTTGCAGGATCAATGAGGTGAAGTGGACTGAATGGAAAACACACGTCTCCTTCCTTAACGAAGACCCGGGGCCTGGGAGGCGAACAGGTACTGTTGCTGTGAGGTAACACCATGTCCGCTTCTGTCTGAGACCGCGTGACCTGGGGCCGATCAAGTCTAAGGCACCTGATTTCTTCATCTGTCAAATGGGGGGCACGAATGGAAGTGCTTCTTAGGTCTCTTCCAGCTCTGACTTTTACAACCCGAGTTGGAACAACTTTTAAAACGATATAGCCCTAAGCCATAGAAATGCATCAGGCAGAGTGATGTGTTTCTAAAACATATATATGTGTGTGTGTGTGTGTGTGTGTGTGTGTGTATACACACACACGTATGTTGTTGTTGTTTTAAGATGGAGTCTATGTCACCCTGGCTGAAGTGCAGTGGCACAATCTTGGCTCACTGCAACCTCTGCCTCCTGGGTTCAAGGGATTCTCCTGCCTCAGCCTCCTTGAGTAGCTGGGACTACAGGTGTGCGCCACCACCCCAGCTCATTTTTTTTTTTTTTTTTTTTTTTTGCATTTTTAGTAGAGATGAGATTTCACCATGTTGTTCAGGCTGGTCTTGAACTCTTGACCTCAGGTGATCCACCCACCTTGGTCTCCCAAAGTGTTGGGATTACAGGCATGAGTCATTGCGTCTGGCCTCTAAAATATATCTTTTTTCAAAAGCAGATTTCAACAAAATCCAAGAGTCTTCCAGGAACAATAGCAAAACCACTCTCAATGCATTCGAAGAAATAGAGGAGTTCCCAGAAACGTCGGTGTAGAAGCGTGACCCAGAGCTGGTGTGCACTTGGGCTGCCTGGTGCTGCAGGCGGAGTCACGGACTGTGCTGAGGGCTTTGAGGAGTGGTGGAGCCTGGCTCTGCTGGCCTAGACGCAGAACACACCCTCATGCTGAGTGGGTATCCGGACTGAGGGGCAGTTGGCGGTTTGTCTGAGTGGGAAACAACCTAGATTTTGTTATTTGGCAAAGAGCTTGTGTAAATCCACAGCCAGCCACAGTCCGGAGCCTCGGACACCCCTGAAGTCCTGGGTGAAGCCTCTGGTTTTACCAATTGCAGGTCAGCTTGGCTGGGAGAGGTGGGTGCCAGGGAAGGGGTCTTGAGGAGCGGGGAGAGGAGGCTTTCCTCCTGCCAGCTTCCCCTTGCCAGCCCTGGCTCCAGTCCACACATTCTACCATCTCACGGGGTTCCCTGAATTTGTGGGAGACCCTTGATCCCATCCCAGAATGTGCGAGGGACGGAGGTAAGCCGGATATCCTAGGAGAGGAGGGGAGCGAGCTTTGGAAATGACCTTCAGGAACTGTTCAGGGAAAAGGAAACCGTCCTTGGAGTGAGCACCCCCTGAAACCCCAAGGATCCAACTGTCTCAGACGGAGAGACGTTGTTAGTAGCATAATTGACACAGGGTTTTTATTTTCAGTATGGAAAAGACATTTCAGTTAAGAATGAACATTACTACAATGAAGTATTGATTTTCAAAGTGGAGACAGATTAGGGGCTTTGGGGCTGGATGTAAGTGTTACAGATCTGGCCTCAGGGTTGGCAGAGCAAGACAAAAAGCTTTTCTTCACACACACAAAAGTCTGCATGAGACGGGCGGGGCAGGTCCTGCTGGGCCGCCGCGATCTGGGTGAAAGGGCCTGGCTCTTTTCCCTGTCCCGGCCTTGCAGCAGCGCACGCCTCCGCCCTGGGATCCTGGCTTCCGCAGAAGCAGAAATAGCAGCGGCTCTGTCTCTACCGTATCAGACCTCAGTACGTCTCAGTGGGGGAATTTAACAAAATGCCTGAACTGCTTTGGTACCAGGTATTTTTTTTTTTTTTTTAACTGTGAATTTTGAAGCTGAAGGGGAAGCTTGTGAGAGAGAAACATTTGCCAAGACTTTGGACTTATTTTTAGGTCCTCATCCGCTGATGTCCTCCCTTGGAAATGACACGGAGTCAGTCTGGGGGCAGAGGGGAAGTGGACACGGAAGGATTTTCTGGGTAACTGGGGCCTAAGCTGCTAGAAAATCTCCTCTGCCTCCATTATCTGGTGAAAGGATTCATGTAAAAATTACAAAAATGTAACATAAGTTTTCATCTTAAATGGCAGAAATAGAAATTCGGCCTTTGGATGACATGGCAATTGACGAGTTAATCTGGTTTGAGGCAGATTGAGGAGTCCAGGCCTGGCAGTGCCCTTGGGACCAGTTTCTCTGCTCTGGGCCACTCCGTGTGCCAGACGAGCTGAGCAGGTGGGGACTCAGCCTCCGTGCCCCTGATGGGGCCGGCTGGGGAGAGGTGGTCTGGGGTGTGAGAGGCGTCACAACCCAGCAGCCCCTGCCTTCCCGGCTGACCTAGGCAGGAACCGTGTGCTCTGAGCCTCAGCGGTCAGACCAGGCTCTGGGGGAACGGGGCTGGGCATGCGCCCCTGGAGAAGAGAAGATTGGAGGGGGCCCGTCCTGAGGCAGAAGGAGCAGATGCATTCTAGAATGGGCAGAACTAGTCAACTGAGGAAGACTTCGGCTCAGTCCAATCCAGCAACTGGTCCAGATATTGGAGATGTTTAAGCAAAAGCTGGTTGAGCACTTAATGAGGCATGTTGTTGAAAACGGTAATTGGATGAAGTTTAAGGTCCCTTTAGCCTGGGGAATCTACCGATCAGCATTCCACATGTGGAGTCAGCTACCTATGTTAAGCCCGAACAGACCTCTTGTTTGAAACGAAGTGGTTTGGATCCATGGTGCCAGGTTCTACACCACGGAGCTGGGAATTCCAGAACTGCTTTACTCAGATGTTAATGGATAAAGCCATACCCACTAATGGATGAGGTTATCTGTTATGGATAAAGCCATATCCAGAATTGCTTTGACTCAGATATTAATGGATAAAGCCAATGATTGATTTCTCTTTGCCTAACCTGCCAGCTTATTGTCCAAGTGAGAAATGGAGAGTCACAGGGATCTCTGTCATCTCACATTATGGAGTGCTGCTCTCTGTGGGTCTGGATGGAATTTGTTGGCAAGACCCCTTTCTTTTCTCTTTTCTCCCTCCCTCCCTCCTTCCTTCCTTCTCTTTCTTCTTTCTTCCTTTTTTTTTTTTGATGGAGTTTTGCTCTTGTCACCCAGGCTGGAGTGCAGTGGCGCGTTCTCAGCTCACTGTAACCTCCACTCCCGGGTTCAAGCAATACTCCTGTCTCAGCCTCCCGAGTAGCCGGGATTACAGGCGCCTGCCACAATGCCCGGCTAATTTTTCTATTTTTTAGTAGAGATGAGGTTTCACCAGGTTGGCTAGGCTTGTCCTGAACTCCTGACCTCAGGTAATCCATCTGCCTCAGCCTCCCAAAGTGCTGGGATTACAGGTGTGAGCAACACGCCCGGCCACAAGACCATTTTCTATACTGGAAACTCTTCCCAAGTGTCCACCCCAAAAGGCTTTTGTCTGAAAGGTCTGAGCCTAGGAAGGTTCAGCAAGGCAGAGGGAAGCAGTGAGTCCAGAAGCATCAGCGTTAGAAGGACCATTGCATTCCTTCACTTCACTCCCGGAGAGTCACACTCGGAGAGGAACGTGTAACCTGGGCAGCGTCGGGCAGGAAGTTGTGTCAGCGCTGTGGAAGCTGGGCTGTCCTGATTCTCGGACCACAGGTGCCTCTCTGAGCCATTTTTAAAAAGTGCCATTATTCCGTAATGTTGAGTCCTTCTTTGTGGTTGGCATATGTTGGGGGGCAGGACTATTTTCTCAGATGTCTCATTTGTCCACAGTTGTCCCTATGCTCCCCATGACTGGTTGAAAATTCCAGTGTGCCCACAGGGGCGCACAAAACCACATACGCCGCACACCCACACATACACGACCCACACACGCCCACCCCCACACACGCCCACACCCATACACCCACCCCCCCAAACCCCCCCAAACACACCCATGCATACACACCCCAAACACACCCACACACACCCCCACACACACCCCCCCACACACACACCCATTGAATCACGGGTCCATCAGGACATCTGAAAAACTCCGTGACTGACATTTCAGTAATTTCAGGGGAAGGCATTTTCCAGGGATGGGATCCTCCAGGCTCAGATAGTGCCTTTGGCTGCAAATGCCCTGTTAGCTAAACATTTCCTCAGGAAAATTTCCTTATTCTGGACACTATGTGATGTATCTGTTTGGAATTCAGGGTGCATAGCCTTCCTCCCGAGGATGTGGGAGAAGCTGCCGGAGGTTGTACTGTGAAGTCATTCAGCTCCTAGAAGGCTCCTGCCTGAGAGAGCCCAGTGTTACTGATGTTTTTTCCTTCCTCAAGGCCTGGTGATCTGTGTCCTTTTGCTCTGGGCAGGGCCTGGGTAGATGGGCCGTTGTCTGGGGCTGTAAACCGTACTTGACATCCGCATGGATTTATGTACTTTTTACTGTGATCTTCGTTCCTCACACAGAATTGTCACCCCATGCCCTTTGAATGTGCTGGATCCTTGTAAATTCTAATTTAATGACTTGTTCTTAGTGTTGTGTGTGTGTCAAACTCTGTGTTCAAGAAAGAAATCATAAAAAGAGTAAGAACATTTTTGTGCCATCGAAGAAATGGTGTTTTGATTTCTAATAAATATCTATTTTGCTTATTACGGCCATGCTTTATCCTTGCCTTAGGTGTGCCAATGTGCAGACTGAGTAGGACCCCTAGAGCAGGCGTCCCCAAACTACGGCCCGCGGGCCTCCCCTGAGGCCATGTATCCGGCGCCCTGCCGCACTTCAGGAAGGGGCACCTCTTTCATTGGTGGTCAGTGAGAGGAGCACAGTATGTGGTGGCCCTCCAACAGTCTGAGGGACAGTGAACTGGCCCCCTGTGTAAAAAGTCTGGGGACGCCTGGTCTAGAGGGTTGCTAACAGGGGTGAGTAAAGGGGAGGCCGGTTTTTGTGCCTGAAGCATTATCATTGGCTCCGGCTCAGGAGCAGAGCCAGCAAGCCAGAAGACATGTCACCTTTGTATGTGTTTACTTCTCAGAGTGCATTCACATCAGGGAGCCAATTTGAACCACTCAGCAGCTCTGGAAGCAGTTTGAGTAAAAGGAGACTCAGGGGTTGAAGTATGTGCTCACAGATTCACAGCCACAAGATGTCAGTGGTTCAGGCCACGAAACCCTCAGAGAGTGCCCTATCAGCTCCTGCACAGCAAAAGAAACTACCATCAGAGTGAATGGGTAACCTACAGAATGGGAGAAAATTCTTGCAATCTACCCATCTGACAAACATCTGATATTCAGAATTTACAAGTAACATAAACATGTTTACAAGAAGAAAACAACCCCATCCAAAAGTGGGCAAAGGGTATGAACAGACACTTCTCAAAAGAAGACATTTATGCGGCCAAGAAACATATGAAAAAAAAGCTTTGCCGGGCGCAGTGGCTCAAGCCTGTAATCCCAGCACTTTGGGAGGCCGAGGCGGGCGGATCACAAGGTCAAGAGATCGAGACCATCCTGGTCAACATGGTGAAACCCCGTCTCTACTAAAAATACAAAAAATTAGCTGGGCATGGTGGGGCTTGCCTGTAATCCCAGCTACTTGGGAGGTTGAGGCAGGAGAATTGCCTGAGCCCAGGAGGCGGAGGTTGGGGTGAGCCAAGATCGCGCCATTGCACTCCAGCCTGGGTAACAAGAGCAAAACTCCGTCTCAAAAAAAAAAAAAAAAAAAAGAAAAAAAAAAAGAAAAAAAAAGCTCAACATCATCTAATTTGCATTAGAGAAATGCAAATCAAAACTACAATGGTCAGAATGGCAATGATTAAAAAGTCATGAAACAACAGACACTGGAGAGGCTGTGGAAAAATAGGGACACTTTTACACCGTTGATGGGAATGTCAATTAGTTCAACCATTGTGGAAGACAGTGTGGCGATTCCTTAAGGATCTAGAACCAGAAATACCATTTGACCCAGCAATCCCATTACTGAGTATACACCCAAAGGAATATAAATCATTCTACTCTAAAGACACATGCATACATCTATTTATTGCAGCACTATTTACAAGAGCAAAGACATGGAATGAACACAAATGCCCATCAATGATAGGCTGGATAAAGAAAATGTGGTACATATACACCATGGAATACTACGCAGCCATATAAAGGAATGAGGTCATGTCCTTTGTGGTGACTTGGATGAAGCTGGAAACCATCATCCTCAGCAAACTAACGCAGGAACAGAAAACGCCACCCCACATGTTCTCAATCATGAGTGTTGAACATTGAGAACATGTGG